CAACTTTGCTAACATCATTAGCACTTACAGAAACTAAAAGGGTAACATCAAAAGAAAAGAGCAAAGATTTTTGCCATTGAATACACCCACTTCAAATACTGGATCACAGTTGCAAAGTGATATTGTCCAGGATATTACTTTTAAACAGTATGTTTGGTTACCAAAAAGCACTATCAGATTACCTGAGGAAATTGATCAATCAAAGAAATCTATGCCAGTTAAGGATCTGAATAATAGCATAATACTTTCAGATGCCAATTAAAAAATTAAATCATGACAAACATTCATTGAAAGAGAATTTGGTGTTAATGAGAATGTGTATCTAAGAAATTATGGGAAAAAGGAAAATGGATACCAGGTCAAATTGTTCAATGTACAGGACCTGTGCCTTATAAAGTTAAAAATAACTTGTGCAGATAATAAGTGTGAATCTGTCAATCCCACCAAGTCTGATCAGTTCACACCAACTCAGTTTGTTCCACAACCAAGTTCTGTTGATATGAGTGAATCAAGTTGTCTAGAGTCAGAAAATGTAAATTCTGGAGTTAATGATTTAAATCCTAGACCTCCTGAGATAGAGAATCCAGATGGTCAGAATCTTGAGTCACCAAATCAGAAGCCACTGAGAAGGTCAAGCAGGACAATCAAAGTCCCAAATAAGTTAGACCTATGATTCTAAAGGTCAAAAGGACTTTGACATTATTGTTTTGTATTTTGATTATGTTGTAGCATATTGTGCATTGTTTGTAAGGATGTAATCTACCATAGTGTTCATGTTGCAATATAATTGGTGATTTTAGGATACTATCAATTGTTCTATTGAGAGATGTGTTATTGTGTTCTAAGGGTAAAGGGATGTAATAGATTGAGTTAATTGTGAGGTCAAGGGAACTCACTCTCTGTATTAGTATTATATTTATATTGTTATCTTGAGTGATGTCCCTTACATGTTGTTATCTATATATAGTGGTCTCTGGCCACTTGCTCTCTCTCTTCCTCTCTCTTTGCATCATGGCGTCTGTACATAATAAAGACTGTTAACAACCAACGCGGCTTCTCGTCAGTCATTACAATCCACGTCAACTTTATTCAAAAAAAGTTGAACAGCTCATTCATTTTTAAGCCGCAGTATTAAATTATGCAAAGCTGTTACATACTACTTTTACTGTTTTCTACTTTAATGGACACAAGCGAGAAAAGTCTCAAAGGTATTTGAGAGGTGCATAAATTAATTTAAAAATCTTGCACGACGTAGTTAAAATTAATATGGTTATAAAATCCTGTCTGTCTGGTTTTTTTCGGACTTTACTAAAGATTGGACGTATTTGATGTTTTTAATATTTTCGGTAACTAAATAAAAATTAAAAAAAAAAGCAAAAACAATTTGGTTTTCACGTGTAATGGCGACATAAACAATGGCATCCTGCTATTGGATAGGCCGACATAAATTTTATTGTACACATTGTAAGCTAAAAATAGAAAACTAGGTCATGGGGTTTTAAATTTGCATTGTTATTTAAAAACTTGATCTGCAAAGTTTTGTAAACAAATAGTTATCGATCACTAAGTTACTGTACAGCCAATCAATATTTGTCTTACGAAAGTGAAACATCCGGTTATAACTTAGGCTTGATGAAAATAAATAGAAATGTAGCCTTAAACTCAACAAATTATTTTCAAGTTCTCTGGATTTGCAACTTTTATAGCATTTATTCTAAAAATATAAAATTTCTAAATTAATTTTAGGCTTAAGTTTTAATTTTTTATTTTTTTTTACGGTCTAAATCTAAAAAGCACGTTTTTATTCCATGTCAACAACACTATGGAAGGAATCTCGTCAACTCGCTTGTCTCCATTAAGTAACCGTAAAATAAAAACCCCTGCAAAAACCGTATTCAAACTTTTTGCAAGATGGGGGGGGGGGGGCGCTTTTCCTCCAACTGAAATCAGAATGATTTACACTCGATTTTCGAGTAGAAGATTAGATACATCTTTTACATTTAGAAAAGAAACTAAATATATTAACGCGTAATGTACGATTATTCCAACCAATTTTGTTAATAAGTTATGTCGTAACTAGTTCTTTGTAGTTAAACGTTACGCTTCTCTAAGAGATCAGGGACTTTTCCGTCATTGCAAAACATCTTGCCTAGAATAATTGGATCAAAGAAAAAATAATTATCGATGATTTTAAGATTTCTGTCTGATCAGTAAAATAGCATATTATGGTAAAAGCGAGTTTGTTGGGGGCCATTCTGTTAGGTTGGGTCGAAATTGTAGCGCAAACTGCTGCAGACTACACTTTAAAACTCGGACTTTTTTCTTTGTGTGAAAATACTAATTTTTTAATTATTATTTTAAAAAGGACAATGCATCTTAAGGGCAATAAACAAGGTGTATTTTTACAAGCTTTTATTTAACTCACTTCCTCGTCAGTCTGTCGTCAGTCTGTCTAGACGGAAACGCAGGAGTGAAAATTCGGACAGTTCTACTTGACCGATACGATTCACAGTTGGCACGTGGGTCAAGACATGAAGACAATGCAATCTGAAACTAAATTTGACTTAATTGGATGCCTAATTAATTTTTTATGAATTAATAAAAATTTGGACCGAATTAGTAGGCATGTCTAGCCAACCACACCACACGCGTCATCACCTTCAATAGCTGCGCCATCACGTAATGGCTGCGTTCAAAAACCATTGCGCGCCTACTGAACGTGATGTTCAGTAGGCGCGCAATGGTTTTTAGTCATGTAACTCTATTGTAAATAAAACATGTAAAGTACTGAAAAAAAAAATTCATAAAAAAACGTTTTAATAACAAGCTTTTATGTAATGATGCACTAAAAAGTAGAAAATAAATTATACACTATTATTTAAATAACTATAAAGAAAAGCGTGGGTCACTTTAGTATCTATTGGATACCTTTACTAATGTTAAGGAAGACACCCACGCTTTTCTTTATAGTTCTTTAAATAGTAGTCTATAATTTATTTTCTACTTTTTAGTGCATCATTACATAAAAGCTTGTTATTAAAACGTATTTTATGAATTTTTTACAAGCTTTTATTTAACTCACTTCCTCGTCAGTCGTCAGACTGTCTAGACCGAAACGCAGGAGTGAAAATTCGGAAACTTCTACTTGACCGATACGATTCACACTTGGCACGTGGGTCAAGACATGAAGACAATGCAATCTGAAACTAAATTTGACTTAATTGGATGCCTAATTAATTTTTTATGAATTAATAAAAAATTTGGACCGAATTAGTAGGCATGTCTAGCCAACCACACCACACGCGTCATCACCTTCAATAGCTGCGCCATCACGTAATGGCTGCGTTCAAAAACCATTGCGCGCCTACTGAACGTGATGTTCAGTAGGCGCGCAATGGTTTTTAGTCATGTAACTCTATTGTAAATAAAACATGTAAAGTACTGAAAAAAAAAATTCATAAAAAAACGTTTTAATAACAAGCTTTTATGTAATGATGCACTAAAAAGTAGAAAATAAATTATACACTATTATTTAAATTACTATAAAGAAAAGCGTGGGTCTCTTCTCAAATATTAGTAAAGGTATCCAATCGGTACTAAAGTGACTCACGCTTTTCTTTATAGTAATTTAAATAATAGTGTATAATTTATTTTCTACTTTTTAGTGCATCATTACATAAAAGCTTGTTATTAAAACGTTTTTTATGATTTTTTTTTACAAGCTTTTATTTAACTCACTTCCTCTGTCTGTCGTCAGTCTAGATGGAAACGCAGGAGTGAAAATTCGGAAACTTCTACTTGACCGATACGATTCACATTTGGCACGTGAGTCAAGACATGAAGACAATGCAATTTGAAACTAAATTTGACTTAATTGGATGCCTAATTGATTTTTAATGAATTAATTAAAATTTGGACCGAATTAGTAGGCATATCTAGCCAACCACACCACACGCGTCATCACGTTCAATAGCTGCGCCATCACTTTCAGTAGGCGCGACTTCACGTTCAGTAGGCGCGCAATGGTTTTTAGTCATGTAACTCTATTGTAAATAAAACATGTAAAGTACTGAAAAAAAATTCAGAAAAAAACGTTTTAATAACAAGCTTTTATGTACTAATGCACTAAAAAGTAGAAAATATATTATAGACTACTATTTAAATAACTATAAAGAAAAGCGTGGGTCTCTTCTCAAATATTAGTAAAGGTAAAAAATAGGTACTAAAGTACTAAAGTGACCCACGCTTTTCTTTATAGTTATTTAAATAGTAGTCTATAATTTATTTTCTACTTTTTAGTGCATTAGTACATAAAAGCTTGTTATTAAAACGTTTTTTATGAATTTTTCTTGTTTTCAATTCATTTAAAACATTTTTCTTACAAAGGATTTTTATATCTGTTTTATAATGAAATAACAATGAAATGGAAGTATCTTTTATAAGAATTACATAATCGTAAGTAGTGTGTTTTTTGTTGTGTTTTGTACTGTTTTATGCGATGTATTATTTTCCCGTTCTCTTCTACTCTTTCAAAAAAGAACTCTAGACTTGGTTTACTTCGTAGCATAGCGCCTTATCTGAACGTGCTGCTTCCTCTACCCCAAAGTAAAGTCCCCTCCCCCTCAATGATCTGTTACGTCACAGCACTAGTAGACGTCGACTTGTACAGTGACGAACCTAGCGTCAAATCCGAGGGCGTCCTTCTCTTTAAAGCTACGCCTATGGACACTGTCGATACTCACCAGTGTCTACACAAGAGGCAAATGTATTATATATTACTACAGGACCTGGTTGCAGTCGTTCTAAAGATCTATGTACTGAAAATTGTCTGACGGAATATCTGTGCCGACTGAGTTAGAGTCTAGACTATAAGTAAATAGAACACTGTATATATATATATATATATATATATATATATATATATATATATATATATATATATATATATATATATATATATATATATATATAAATCAAAATGTTGTTTTATTTAGTTATTGACACGTCACTATTTCTTAATTCGACATCAAGCAAAATGAAATACCTGTTCTCGGTGGTTGTTGCTGTGTTCGTTGGATGTGCTGTTGCTGAAAATTGCGTTCACAAACGTGTTGTAAGATTTTATTTTCTTTTTCATATTTGAGAAAATTTTCATTTCGGGTTTACTGTGTAAAGCTTAACATTTTGTTTCACCACAAAAGTGTAATAATTTTAAATGAAAATTTTTTTGTCCATCTGAGAACTGTTCAAAAGCCTTTCCACCATATACATACAAACACACACGGAAATGATTGTGAAACTAAGTTTGTTTCCGTAAGGTTGTAAAACATAGGACCCTACACATTTGACAAAATCTCGATTTAGATTTTTCGCACGATACATTCGATTCACATCCTTCATATTCCGTACACGATAAAGTAGGGCGATCTAAAACTGTCAAAATATCTGTTTTTTATTTATCACAGTTACAAAGCTTCATTATACTCTGTGTACGAGAAAGTAAAAATTAACACCATGTTATTACTGTTTATGCGTACACAAACAACACAGACAATTTAAAAATAAAGCAAGAGTAAAACTTTTAAATTAACAAACTTTTTAATGATTTAAAATTAAAAATGAATTACAATTAATTTCTTCAATAAATCAAATGTAAAAAGCATTTTTAGCAACACGCTTTTGAATTCACAAAAAATAAGAAAGTAAAACTAATATGCTTTCTTACATAAAAGCTTTGGTCGCTAAAATATGAGCAACAAAAGGTTTTATGAAAGAAAGCAGATTAGTTTTATTTTACTTTTTTCTGTGAATTTAAAATCTTGTTGCCCAAAAGTTTTGATTGTTTGTTTCACTACAAGCTTTTACTTAGTTCGTTTGCAGGTTTGTGTCAAATCTTGTAGTTTAATGGTGACCTAATTCTAATGCAGCAATTGCTTTCAAATTTCCCAGATATCATCGTGTTCTTCAATACATGAATAATTTTAAAAAATTTAATTTGATGTTAAATTAGTCATTACGAATTAATGAAGCGGTTTCGAAACTAAGGAGACTGAACACGGTTAAATACTAGTAATCACTCGATATACTTTATTAAATAATAGAAGGGGAGATAACTATCTAGACGCTATCACCGTAACAGTCTGGTGGACTGTGGTTCACGTCGAATGTTTACAATCATAGAGCTGGGTTGAATGAGTGAAGGCTATTAATCGCTAAAATATGTAAGAGATCTCATGAAGGACAAAGTTAAAAAAAAAAAAGAAAACCTTTGTTTTATTTTCTTATTTTAAATGCACTTAAAAGCTTATTAGAAAGGTTTTTATATTTTTTTAAAAAGACATACAACAAAGGAGACCTTATTCCGTTCAACGATTGCAACAATTGCCTCTGTGTTGGGCCTAATATACAATGTGATTTAAAGCCGTGCAAGGAAATACCGGAAGACAAATGTGAACTCAATGGAAAGGTCAGTTCGTGTAGTCATGTTATTGGTTATTTTTTTAAAAGCGGGCATTAGTACATGGGATATCTGTTCCCCACACTTTAAATAGACCGGGTATTTGTTTGGCCAATATCCAAGGACATTTTTTTAAACTAAAATTCAATCCAGTGTAAAATCTATTGTCATCTCGATGATCGTGTATAAAGAGACCGAAAACTGACACAAACTAGACCGATGGGATTCTATGAAATGCCACATTAAGGGGTAACATAATTTACCCGTTTGACCGCTCAATGATTACACGAACGCAACAGCGTTAAGATTTTATACTTTTTATTTCCCCGGTTCTTTGACAACACGCGAAAATAAAAGAAGAAAACATCTGGATCAAAGAAAAATTCCTTTAAAACTTATGCTAAGCTGTTTCAATGACACGGGCATTTACTTTTAAATAAGGCATTGTAAAGTTATTTTTAACACTGATATTTAATAGTTATTTAGTACAACGCCTCCTAATTTATAAAAGCCCATGTGCGCGCTCTCTCTTTCTCTCTCTCTCTCTCTTTCTCTCTGTTTTTCTCTCAAAGTTTTCCCGAGGCCATGAGATCAGTATCTTCAGCAATATGTGTAGAAATTAAAGATATGTACTTCTGTTGAGAAATATATGTGAATTATACTAAATGTAAAAGTTTAATTTTATTGAAAAGCGGGAAAAAAATAAAAACAGACTGCAACTATGCTGTTGTTAATTGTGGTGTTACTAACTTTACCCTAGTTACACATTACAGCTCGAAATATGTTGTTTTTGTAACTACACTAGTTAGCCTGCAAACGAATTATTTTTTTTTAATTTTTAAAATGCTTTTGATAGCCTAGACAGAAACAACCTCTTGAAAATCTTACTTTGGCATGGTTTTCAAAAAAAAATATCACAAATGACATCAAAATTATATATGAAGGGTTTCAATGCAAAGTTATAAGTGGTAGCCATATCACTGACCAATTTATCAACTATTTGTTGATCATTTATTTTATATGCATATATCAATATTGTGCCGTGTATAAACAAAGATTGAGATCACTGTTTCATAAAGCTGAATCTGTTTTCTAGAAATACAAGAAAGGATCCCAAGTACAGTTCAACGAGTGCAACCAGTGCCACTGTGTTGGGCCTAATCTAAAATGTGACATAAAGCCGTGCACTCCAAAACCTGAGGTCACGTGTCAACACAATGGACAGGTCATTTTTTGTGTGCTTTGTGTAGCCGTTATGTTTATTTTTCTCTAGGAACAAAATTTGATGGCCTTGAACAGACAGACCAGACTGACTAGATAGACACACCAGACATACCAGACAGACCAGACATTCCAGATAGACAAAATAAGACATACCAGATCAGACAAGACAGACCAGACATTCCAGACAGACAAAATAAGACATACCAGATCAGACAAGACATACCAGAATAACTTAATAAGAACAATTATTTCTTTTTAAATTAAGACTGCGCGTTAATTATTATTTTGTTGATGATTAATGACAATATGCACATATTAAAATTACTGTTTGATAAAGATTTGTTTTCTAGATATACAAGACCGGCCCTGTACCGTCCGACGATTGCCACAAATGTTCTTGTCAGGAGGGGAAAGTAGGTTGCCTGCGTGTATCGTGCCCGCAAATACCCGACCCGGGTTGTGAGCACAATGGAGTGGTAAGGTTGTTTTTTTTTTTCGCGTTTTGCCTAGTCGTTATGTTTATTTTTTCCCTATAAACCAATTTGGCTATAGCTCGAAAAAAACTAGACTTAGTTTTGTCATTGTTATAATATGCGGGCACAATATGTGTGAGGCACAAAAGGTCCGAATTGTCAACATTTGTCAAAACCTCGATATCGATTTTTGCATAATACATCCTTTATATTACGTATAATGTAATGATATAACGTTGGGCGTTGTAAAAGGGTGAAAACTGTCACAATTATTAAAATTTATCTTCGCGATCGCGATACGTCTGTTATACTCTGTATTTGAAAAAGTTAATATCTATATATATATATAATTCTCTTCTTGGAGACGATAGAAAGCACCAAGCTGTAAGCGCGCTCCCTACCACCCCCACCCCTACATGGTCTGGTGAACTGTGGTTCACGTTAAATGTTTACAATCGTAGAGCCGGGTTTAGTGACGGCTATTAGGGGCAGATAAGGTAGTTTGAAATTATTTTAAACTTAGGGGAGGTAACTAAGAGGAGTTAGCTTTCAAGGGGAAGGGTGGTGGTGGTGGGGGGGGTAGTGGGGGTGGGTGGGTGGGTGGGGTAGGGGGAAAGGAGGCAGGTATCGTCCTTAACGACCATCTGATAGTGTTTTAAAGCAAATATTTTCAGTGGCAGCATTGGTACTGTCGAATTCACAAATTATGAATTACTGAAAAGTAGAAAATAAAACAGGTACGGGTCGGCTCGTACCAATAATTTTATTTCTTGGAGTAGAGTAAATTTTGGCTTAAAGACAGTGTACGGGATAGTATCCACAGCTCAGCCATTCTCCATTCTCGATTGTAAACAAACCAAGGCTATTTTGAATTAACTCCCCTGTATATGTGTAGACCATATACCTGTCTTCTTTTGTGGCGCTAAATATGTTTAAGTGCTAGTTATTCAAAGTTATAAGATTTTAATTAAATCGTCACATTTATTAATAACTGTAATCCAGTGTGGATGTTTTATATATTTTTTATAGACGTTCGTTTTACAGATAGACCTAAATGTAAGACGCTTGAAATAGTGATTTAGTTAGGTCTGTGACGTTAGAGTCACTATAAGGAAATTTCTTTTGCATTCTCTTTTGCCTTATACAAGATTTGTATATGGATAAAATGTTTGTGATTGAAATGAAATTCACGAATGTGCTGGTTACGCTCCACAGATATATAAGGAAGGGGAGAGCTTTATGAACAAATGCAACGTATGTTGGTGTAACGGAATTTATGCTATGTGTACTCTAAAGTTTTGTTTTGAAGACACCAAAGACTCAAAGTACCAGATGTTGTTTGAAAAGTAACTAGCGAATTGAACATGCAATAAAAGTTTTAATTTGAAACATGAAATTGTATTTTTGTTGTTTTGTTGTGTTACAAATCGCAACTTTAGCTAATGTGAAAGCCCTGGTAATAACAGCATCAGAAGAGCTTGCATTAAACTAAAAAAAAGGTGTTATACTTAAGGAATTCAGCGCTCCATTTCCTATAGTCAATAGAGTTCGTTTGAAATTGAACTTATTAAATGTAACATTAGACTCTACTTCTTCTTCGTTCTTTATTTTAGTGTTGAAAGGGATTCCCTCCTAAAAATAAAGTATTACATGTCAGAGTGTCATGTGCCATACGGTGAACGGAAAAAAGACACAGAAAAAAAAAGAAAAAAAGTCACAGAAAAAAAGTCACAAAGGAAAAGTTTTATCGGAAAAAAAGCCACAGAAATAAAGTCAGTAAAATGACGAGGAACAAAGCCCGGCTAGTGAAATGACGAGGAACAAAGCCCGGCATAGTGAAATGACGAGGAACGAAGCCCGGCTAAAGAAATGACGAGGAACAAAGCCCGGCTAAATGACGAGGAACAAAGCCCGGCTAAATGACGAGGAACAAAGACCGGCTAAATGGCGAGGAACAAAGCCCGGCTAGAGAAATGACGAGGAACAAAGCCCGGCTAGTGAAATGACGAGGAACAAAGCCCGGCTAAATGACGAGGAACAAAGCCCGGCTAAATGACGAGGAACAAAGCCCGGCTAAATGACGAGGTACAAAGACCGGCTAAATGACGAGGAACAAAGCCCGGCTAGTGAAATGACGAGGAACAAAGCCCGGCTAAATGACGAGGAACAAAGCCCGGCTAAATGACGAGGAACAAAGCCCGGCTAAATGACGAGGAACAAAGCCCGGCTAAATGACGATGACAAAGCCCGGCTAAATGACGAGGAACAAAGCACGGCTAAATGACGAGGAACAAAACCCGGCTAAATGACGAGGAACAAAGCCGGGCTAGTGAAATGACGTGGAACAAAGCCCGGCTAAATGACAAGGAACAAAGCCCGGCTAAATAAATGACGAGGAACAAAGCCCGGCTAAATGACGAGAAACAAAGCCCATATAGTGAAATGACGAGGAAAAAAGCCCGGCTAAATAACGAGGAACAAAACCCGGCTAAATAAATGACGAGGAACAAAGCCCGGCTAAATGACGAGAAACAAAGCCCATATAGTGAAATGACGAGGAAAAAAGCCCGGCTAAATAACGAGGAACAAAACCCGGCTAAAGAAATGACGAGGATTAAAGCCCGGCTAGTGAAATGACGAGGAACAAAGCCCGGCTAAATGACGAGGAACGAAGCCCGGATAGTGAAATGACGAGGAACAAAGCCCGGCTAAATGACGAGGAACAAAACACGGTTAAAGAAATGACGAGGAACAAAGCCCGGTTAGTGAAATGACGAGGAACAAAGCCCGGCTAAATGACGAGGAACAAAGCCCGGCTAGTGAAATGACGAGGAACAAAGCCCGGCTAGTGAAATGACGAGGAACAAAGCCCGGCAAAATGACGAGGAACAAAGCCCGGCTAGTGAAATGACGAGGAACAAAGCCCGGCTAAATGACGAGGAACAAAGCCCGGCTAGTGAAATGACGAGGAACAAAGCCCGGCTAGTGAAATGACGAGGAACAAAGCCCGGCAAAATGACGAGGAACAAAGCCCGGCTAGTGAAATGACGAGGAACAAAGCCCGGTTAAATGACGAGGAACAAAGCCCGGCTAAATGACGAGGAACAAAGCCCGGCTAAATGACGAGGAACAAAGCCCGGCTAGTGAAATGACGAGGAACAAAGCCCGGCTAGTGAAATGACGAGGAACAAAGCCCGGCTAAAAGACGAGGAACAAAGCCCGGCTATATGACGAGGAACAAAGCCCAGCTAAAGAAATGACGAGTAACAAAGCCCGGCTATTGAAATAACGAGGAACAAAGCCCGGCTAAATGACGAGGAACAAGGTCCGGCTAAATAAATGACGAGGAACAAATACCGGCTAAATGACGAGGAACAAAGCCCGGCTAGTGAAATGACGAGGAACAAAGCCCGGCTAAAAGACAATGAACAAAGCCCGGCTATATGACGAGGAACAAAGTCCAGCTAAAGAAATGACGAGGAACAAAGCCCGGCTAGTGAAATGACGAGGAACAAGGTCCCGCTAAAGAAATGACGAGGAACAAGGTCCGGCTAAATAAATGACGAGGAACAAAGCCCGGCTAAATATAGAGGAACAAAGCCCGGCTAGTGAAATGACAAGGAACAAAGCCAGGCTAGGGAAATGACGAGGAACAAAGCCCGGCTAGTGAAATGACAAGGAACAAAGCCAGGCTAGGGAAATAACGAGGAACAAAGCCCGGTTAAATGACGAGGAAAAAAGCCCGGCTAAATGACGAGGAACAAAGCCCGGCTAAATAACGAGGAACAAAGCCCGGTTAAATAACGAGGAACAAAGCCCGGCTAAAAGACGAGGAACAAAGCCCGGCTAAATGACGAGGAACAAAGCCCAGCTAAATGACGAGGAACAAAGCCCGGTTAAATAACGAGGAACAAAGCCCGGCTAAAAGACGAGGAACAAAGCCCGGTTAAATAACGAGGAACAAAGCCCGGCTAAAAGACGAGGAACAAAGCCCGGCTAAATGACGAGGAACATATCCTGGCTAAATAACGAGGAACAAAGCCTGGCTAGTGAAATGACGAGGAACAGAGCCCGGCTAGTGAAATGACGAGGAACAAAGCCCGGCTAGTGAAATGACGAGGAATAAAGCCCTGCTAGTGAAATGACGAGGAACAAAGCCCGGCTAGTGAAATGACGAGGAACAAAGCCCGGCTTGTGAAATGACGAGGAACAAAGCCCGGCTAAATGACGAGTAACAAAGCCCGGCTAGTGAAATGACGAGGAACAAAGCCTGGCTAAATGACTAGGAACAAAGCCCGGCTAGTGAAATGACGAGGAATAAAGCCCTGCTAGTGAAATGACGAGGAACAAAGCCCGGCTAAATAATGAGGGACAAACCCCGGCAAAAAGACGAGAAACAAAGCCCGGCTAGTGAAATGACGAGGAACAAAGCCCGGCTAAATGACAAGGAACAAAGCCCGGCTAAATGACAAGGAACAAAGCCCGGCTAAAGAAATGACGAGGAATAATAATCATTAAAAAAGTTTAAAAAAACCCACGTTTTCTGATTGAACTAAAAAGTAGAAAATAAATGCTATACATCACAATAATGCAAAAGCGATTACTCTACTATAAGCGATGAAAAACGTGGGGCGCCGAAGTAAAAGTTATATTACTATTGATTAGATAATACTATTGACTTTTATTAGGGAGCTTGTAGAGAGTCAACAGTATTAGAAACTGTAAGAAAATCACGGCGCCCCACGTTTTTGATCGCTTATAGTAGAGTGATCGCTTTTGCATTATTGTGATGTATAGCATTTATTTTCTACTTTTTAGTTCAATCAGAAAACGTGGGTTTTTTAAAACTTTTTTAATGATTATTATTTTCTACTTTTTAGTCTTTGTCTGTTTGTTTGCATTAAAATCTCGTAAAAGTTGTATAGCATTAAAGTCTCGTAAAAAGACAACTCGTAAAAAACACGTTGTGTGAATACGTTACTGACTAGAACACATAGATTTGAACCCGCGCCGAGTGGGATAGCAATCGTGTGCCCAACCACTCGACCATATCGTCTCCCCCATATTGGCCGCCAGTTGTTACGGTTGTTTGTACACACACACACCGCGTGACAACTACTCAGTAAGCAAAAAGAGGAAGAGTCCCGAACCTTGTTTTCATCAAATTACAGTTACTGGGTTATGTCCCTTTCCCCCACGTTTTTGTACAATTATATAGCGGCCTAAAATGATCAATAAAATGTTTCCATGGATCAATTTAGTAATAATAGCAATTGAACATTCTATGGTCATCGGAAACAAAGCTTCCTTGAAAATTTCAGCGCGCTAGCTAACTGGGAAGTGCCCGAAATTTCGATCGCAAGATTTGATTGGAGAACCAAACAAACAGACGCGAAAGCAAGTTAAAGAAAACGTGGGAAAAAAGCCCGGCTAGTGAAATGACGAGGAACAAAGCCCGGCTAAATAACGAGGAACAAAGCCCGGCTAAATGACGAGGAACAAAGCCCGGCTAAATAACGAGGAACAAAGCCCGGCTAAATAACGAGGAACAAGGCCCGGCTAAATAACGAGGAACAAAGCCCGGCTAAATAACGAGGAGCAAAGCCCGGCTAAATGACAAGGAACAAAGCCCGGCTAAATGACAAGGAACAAAGCCCGGCTAGTGAAATGACGAGGAATAAAGCCCTGCTAGTGAAATGACGAGGAACAAAGCCCGGCTAAATGACGAGGAACAAAGCCCGGCTAAATAACGAGGAACAAAGCCCGGCTAAAAGACGAGGAACAAAGCCCGGCTAAATAACGAGGAACAAAGCCCGGCTAAATAACGAGGAACAAAGCCCGGCTAAATAACGAGGAACAATGCCAGGCTAAATATAGAGGAACAAACCCCGGCTAGTGAAATGACGAGGAACAAAGCCCGGCTAGTGAAATGACAAGGAACAAAGCCCGGCTAGTGAAATGACGAGGAACAAAGCCCGGCTAAATGACGAGGAACAAAGCCCGGCTAGTGAAATGACGAGGAACAAAGCCCGGCTAAATGACGAGGAACAAAGCCCGGCTAAAAGACGAGGAACAAAGCCCGGCTAAAAACGAGGAACAAAGCCCGGCTAAATGACGAGGAACAAAGCCCGGCTAAATAACGAGGAACAAAGCCCGGCTAAATAACGAGGAACAAAGCCCGGCTAAATAACGAGGAACATAGCCCGAGTAAATGACGAGGAACAAAGCCCGAGTAAAGGACTTTGTGTCTTTTAAAATCATCTCATGTGCTAGTATGTGTTTGCTCTTTGTTGTGTTCACAAATTGTTGAATTATATTAATTTATTTCTCATAATTACTTTAAGGATTAGAAACCCAGATTATCTTTCTACAACA